GGGGGGGGGGGGGGAACAACGCCATCTCACCAGAGTACGGTAGCTACGCCCACCACCACGCCCACTCCATGCCCCGCGAACAAAGCAGCGGCAGACTCCAGCCCCCCGAGGACCGGGACCACCTACGCCACGCCACGAAAAAAGAAGAAAATAAAAACACATCCACACATGAGTTTTTCAACCGCACTGAGACTGACCTCTTTTCATCGGTCAGCGGGTTGGCGCAGTCGATGATAATCACAAAGACGCACAACACATATCGAGTATTTTCCTTCGACCTTCAGAAGCAGGACAGTTTCGGAAGAATATTGCGCCACCCCCTTTGTCGGTAGAACCCTTCCATTTGATTTGAAAACGTGTTCGCGTGTTCTATCCCGCGACAAGACAGGCGTATTGTCATTGTCCAGCGGGTTACCGCAGTTTATGCAAAAAAAAAAACGACACACACACAGACAGAGAAACCGAACAAAAATGTGGTGGGTCTGGTCACCGGCAAAAGCAGCCGTGATCTGCCAATTTAGAGGTGGCGTATGCTCCGGCGAGCAAGGCGGTCAAACGGACTGGGTTATATGGTCAAGTGCTCGTTAAGGTTGGAGTCCATACCGTCCCAGACTGGTACTGTACTGGCATTGGATAGTGAAAGCCCTCAAGCAATAAGGTGAAGGATTTGTGACGGTTGATCCTCTGCACCATCCAACACAACAAAAGAATCCAAGCCCTCTTAACACGCTGGCCGATAATTTCTTCCCTACCCTCAGAGAAGAAGCAGGTGGGACGCCGTAGAACGAGGGCGCAGACCTCGGATAACGATCCACGTGGTACTATACCCACTGCTGCTGTCGTCCGCCTAGGTTACCGCCGGGGCTCCCGTGCCCCCGAGCGAACCTACCAAGGTATCGCCGGGATGTGCTACTTGTAGCGATGACGGCGCGGTTCACACGAAGACTGTTGCCGTAGGCTGCCAAGAACATAAGCTTTGCGGTGGCTATTGGGCGCCCAACAGACACCAGGGATTGCGGTCGCGGCCGGTCGACTACTGCTCGGGCGACGAGCGTCTCCAACCTGCCCGTGCTGTGCTGTTGTCAGGCTCCTGGTCGACAACGGCTGCGTACAGAGGACCGCGGCAAAGGTGTAACGGCGCCGCGCTTTTGACTTACTCACCTCGAGACCCATCACCACCGCCGTCTTGCTGCCGCTTCCGCTTCCGCTCCCGCCGCCCCTGCTGCTGATGGCTCTGCCCCCGCCTAGCGCCAGGAAGCCGAGGCCGTGACCCGGGTTGCGCGGCGAGAGGCCGGATTGGCGAGCGTGCCGGACGAAAGATGACGCGCCTGTCGGTGGTCCGAGTCCAATCGAATCGTCGGCCACGGTGAGTTTAACATAGCACAGCAGGAAAGCAGCGTGTAGAAGGGGTCGTGCAGCCAACCAGCAAGGCAAACTCGGGGGCGTGTTTTGGGGTGCTTCTCTTTTTCTGCTTGCTCTGAAGTGTCTGCAGCATTGTCAACATGCCATTTCGTTTGCAGCGGAGAACCGATCCCCTTTCCTACAGCAGTTGTCCCCGCCTGCTCAGTATTCGCGGATCGTGACCCTGACCGCAAGGCGAGTGGCCTTGGCATCTGGAAGGGAGGCGGGGTCTAGATCCCGAGTTGGGAAGTAACGGAGATGCATACCATCGTTATGCAGGCAGTGGGATTAAGTCGGCTTACGGCAAGCATAGGCTGCAAAGTCGGCTTCGAATGCCGGCGACAATGACTCCTCGTTGGTGGCCGTCTAGTTGGCCGCCCGCTGCCGCTGGGAAGAAGACCCCACGTAGTACTTCGCCATCGACTCCGTTTTCCAACCCCCGTCTGCATGATCTCCCCTGTGGCGGAGCCGCCCATGGACCAGCTCAAAGACCCCCACACTCTTCACGAGTGCATGGAAAAGTGGGCAGGCATGTCGGCCGCCCTCAAGTGCGCCTGAAGGGACGAAAATCGGGGCTACAAACGAATTCTAATTCGGCACGAAAACGAATGGAGGCGTCTGCCTGGATCATATGTTGAGATTTGCGTATAGCCGATCATATTTGTCTTCTTGCCTACCGTGAACACGAGACAACACCGGGGAGAGAAAGACATTTGAGAGACGCCCGGGACAAGGGCCAACCCAACACCCCCGACACCAACGAGAGAACACCGGGGCGAGAAAGAAATTTGAGAGACGCCCGGAACGAGGACTAACCCGACCCCCCCCGACCCCGACGCCAGCGGTGGTGTTAGGGGTGTCGGGTTGGCCGTCGTTCCAGGCATCTCTCGAACACCTTTCTCTCTCCGGTGGTCTCTCCTAATGTTGTAGGGAGGAAGACAATGAACGGCTGTATGCAAATTTCAACAGTTGTTAGGGCAGACGCCTCCATTCGTTTTCGTGCCGGATTTGAAATCGCTTGTTGTTGTTGTTGTCTTCACCCATTAAAAACTGTTCCGGTCTCCGCTCCGTACCTTGCAATGTCCGTACTGGTCCACCCCGTTGTATGCATAGCCCACGATTTTAGCGTGTATTTCAACCAAAAAGTCGAAGCTCAAATACAAGTAGAGCGGGGAGATGTTCGATGTTCCAATACGGGTTATGTGGAAGCTGCACTATTTTACCCGTAGCTGCAGGGCATCACCGGGGCCGCAAAACCTATGTGGCGACGGTGGAGGGCCGCACTTTCACTGTGGTATAGGGTGGAGTACCAAAGTGCCTTGCGAGAAGCAGTACCGCCCTAGCGAGGGAAGGGAAGCAAGCAAGAGGGCTCGACTGCGGCGGACTGAATTCTGCTGTAGATCATGTAGCATGACTCACAACAGTCTAGAAGGACATTATTATGTAGCGAAAACGTATCAAAATTGTCCACCAGTTGCTGAACGCGCTTCCGTACACCCATGTTGTTTGACAGCGCAGCACGCCGTGCCCAGACGCGAACACAGCTTGTCCAGGGAGCTGTGAAGTGGGGATGAGGTCTGAACATATATGTAAACATCCACTTTCACCATCCCCGCGTGGGACAAAGCAGTTGCATGCGTGTGTGCCTTTTAATCTACCTGACAGCTACCTGAGCTCCATGAAGCAAGCATTAAGACGTACCTACAGAAGACGTGAAGGCCGAGGAGCACGAAGGAAGCACTGCAGCCGTTGCCAGAGTCAGGTAACGCAGGTGTTGGAGCATGGTATGTGGTTTCCTGTTGCACTATTGTGCCAACCGAGGGCAGGAGGGGGTCGCCGTCGCATGAAACCTACGAGAGGGGCGGGGGGGGGTAAGGCGTCCCGCGAAAATTAATCAAGCAACGGTTTTTGGCGCGAAGCAATGAAGCATTAGTATCCCTTTGGTGCGAAAGCGCGACAGCGAACAGCCACGTCTCCCACAGCAGGGCTACCTGGAACTGCTGTAAAGCAGCGGTAGCAGCGAAAGCGACAGTATAGCCATGAGCCGCAGCAGCAGCAGCAGCAGCAGCAGAGGAAACGCCATGTACTCGCCGATGAGTGGGGCCAGAGCTCTCAAGTCTCCATCCTTCGTGTTCGGCGACGACACCTCCCACATAGCCACGAGGTTGAGCGAGAGCTGCTACGTGTCCGACGACGAGGGCGCGAGGAGCAGCAACAGGACAGGGGATATGACTCCGGTGAGGAGAACGCCGACCAGATCGCTCTCCTTCTCGGTCGGGGTCACTCCCGGGAAGCAGGGAAACCCGAACAGGTCCGTTGGTCGTTTGGCTGCAGCGAGCGGTGTATCCAGGCGGACCAGTGTACGCTGCGGTATGCACGCTCGCCGAGCGTGTGTGCGATGCTTGCGAGAGCAACTCCTGGTGTGTGTGCCGCCTCGTGTCGTCTAAAGGGCTGGCCCCGGCCATTGCTCATCGAGCGGCGAATCGACCTCATCTTTGGTAGACCTGACCAAAAGAGTAAGGCAAGATCTGTTCAGTCCTTTACAAACTCCTAACCGTCGCGTGCGAGGGCCCATACAGTCTACAGCTGCAGTACAGCAGTGTGGCTTGCCTCCCGCGACGCTGCCTTGCAACTCAACAATCACCTACCGAGAGGATCGGGAGAGATCCACATGGATCTCCTGCTTATTTCGTCCCTGCTTCGACGGGAAGATGGGCAGCAAGCAGTTGGACAAGACTCTAAACGATGCTCCTACAGCAGTACAGACTTTTGTGTGTTCCGCCCGCCGCATCTCTCCTCTCCCCTTGACACCACCGCCGCCACACTGGATGTCATCAGTCCCTCTCTATTCCATTGCTCGTTTTGCGCGATCCTTGTTTGCCTCTACCGCGCGCGATCAGGATGAGCATCTCGCCAGCGGCTTCGGTCGGAGGCAGCACCCCGAGACGCTTCATGCCGGTCACCCCCGTCAGGACGCCATCCAGGGCCTCGAGGAGCGGCTCCGGCCGAAAGAAGGTGCGCATGAAGAATCAAACAACCTTTGACGGCATGTTGAGTAAAGGTGCCCGCAGTTTTGCATTAGCATCGATTTTCATAGCTAAAGCCCTTTGTGCTCTCCACCCGGTTGACCGGTAGGGCTGCGCACCCCACGCGAAGGAAGAACCACGGTTTTCGTTCACAGAACTGCTACGACCACCGGCGACAACAACTGTAAACTTTTGTCACACTGCTATTGCCGGGCAGGGGCAGGTGGACAACGTCGCGGCGGATCCCATGAGCGTCTGCAAGGGCGGCGGCGGCGTGGGATCATCGACCAACGCGGCGGTCTCCCGAGGCAGCGATAGCAGCAAAGCCTCATCCGCCTCGACGGACGGCAAGGAGAACGCCCCTTCTGTCAGCCACCGGTTTGACCTTTTCGCGGCTCCTTCACCGGCAACGCCTAAGGCCGGCAGCGTCGCCAACAAAAGCAGCTCTACGGCGTTTGATCTCATGCCGCCGCCGCTGCCTCGCACTCCGGGCGGAGCGAAGGGGGTCTCACAACGGACGTCGGTGCTATCCCCCCTGGGGCGCCACGACCCCAACCTGCAGCAACCAGATCCCAGGGCCGGCGGCGTCGAGCGGGGAAGGGCGGCCGAGAAGGTATGAGGGAGGGGGGAGCTCGTTAAGTGGGGGTGCTTTCGCAGCCGAGTTTGGGTCGCTAGCTTATTCGATGTGAAAAACATCCGGCGGTCAACTTGTTGCTCCTTGGCCCCGCTCCCGCGTTTGGAACCCACCACCTGATCCTCACTCACCCTGCGACCTCTTGCGCTGACCCCTTGCCGTTAACCCCCCCCCCGCGCGCGCCTTCCCGATGTCAAACGATGATCCCACGCGCCCCTCCGATATCCCGCACCGGCAGTCCCTCCTCACACCGGTCGCATCTCCGCGATCGAGGAGCTTCAGCATTGGCCGCAGCAGCGGCGACGCGAGCAGAGGGAGAAGCAACGGCAGCGGGGCCGGGGTGGACTCGAGCAGCAGCCAAAAGGCTCACAAAGCCGGAGCAGCTCACAAACAGCAGCACCACCAGCTGAAGCGCTCGTCCTCGCGGGACGCGGCCGCCGCCGCGGCTGCTCGCTGCGCCCCCACGCCGCCCCGGCGCGGCCGTAGCAGCGGCACTTCCAGCAGAAGCAGTCGCACGCAAGCGCACGACGTAGGCGCTAGCGCCGGCGGTAGCCGTTGCCGGGGTGGTGCCGGTGCCTCGGTGGACGCTCAGCCGCCACCGCAACCGCAGAATCAGCAGCAGCAACAACAACAGCAGCAGAAGCAGCAGCAACAGCAACAGAGTCAGGCAGCAGCGGCGCCGCCAGCAGGACCAGCGGGCACGGCCGTCTTCTCCGTGGGTGTGGGAGGAGGGGCCACCAATGTGAGGAAGTCACGGGCAGCAGCGCGGCCGTCGGAGCCGCCTGCAGCGGCCGCGGCGGCCGATATTGCCACGGTAGCAGCAGCAGCAGCAGCAGCAGCAGCGGGAAGCGGGGAAGGGACCGGGCTTCACGAGTTGCTCGTCGGACGGGCGAGGGAGTTCGCGGAGCAGGCGAGGGCGGAAACACTCGTGGGGATGCCCCGCGAGGCGGCGAGGAGCTTCACCTCGGCCCTGAAGATTGTCGCCCCCAGGACGAACATGGCCGGGTGGGCCTCGGTGAAGGTGGAGTTGTTGCTGGCGAGGGCGCAGGTCCTGTCGGCGCTCGGCAAGCACGAGGCGTGCGCTGAGGTACGGGCGGGCGTGTCTCTCTTTAAGTGCTGTAGTTCTCGTGTTTTTTTTTCTGATAGTTGTGGCACTTCTGCCGCTGGTCTGCTGCTGCTGCTGCTGCCGCTACTGCTGCTGCTGTTACAGCTCATGTTATTTTGTCCGTTGTTGAGTTGGAAGCCCGCCTTCGCTTTGTTCAGTTTGCTCCCCTGTCTCGAGTGGACCACGTGGAGCCGAAAGGGCACAGGTTCGGAGTGAGTGCTCGGCCAACTCTAGTTTTGGGTCCCGCACGTGCTCTAATCTCTGCTACATCTCCCACCAAGGCAAGATAACGTTCCTCCCGGCTCCCAGTTAGACACAACGCCGCGTCTTGGTTAGTGCACTCCTGCGGTGCATATTGCGGGGCGTACTACACCCAACAACACACTCTGCTGCTGCTGCTGCTGCTGCTGCTGCTGCTGCTGCTGCTGCTGTTTCTCTGGCGATGGGCTTTCACCCCACAGGACTGCCGGTCCGCCCTCCGGCTGGAGCCGACTCTGCTGCAGGGCATCACGCTTCTCGGGCACGCCTGCCTTCGCCTCGGCCTTCACGAGGAGACCGTCCGCTTCCTGAACGAGGGCCTCTCCCTGGCCATCTCTCAGCCTGGTGAGTGCAGAGCGCGTCATGCACGCAGAAAGTTGTTCTGCTTTGTAGAATAGGTTTGTTCTGGTCCTTTATTCTGGTTACGAATATGTTCACGTCAGTAGAGGCGGGGTGTTTTCGTGGCGATAATGGTCGAACTTTCCTTGGGCAAGACGACAGTCCGTCGCAAACTCAAAGCGCACACATTCTCAGGATGATTCGAGGGAAGTATATCTTCTGGACGTGAGGGTGTGCTTGTGTGTTTCTTGTGACTTTGGGCGGTTTGACTACTGCCCCGTCCTGATGCCCTCCGATCGCAGTGCCTCCTCTCTACATGCTCTGGTCCACCAGCCAACCCTCACTTGCCGCTCCCCTCCCGCTCAGACCGCTCTGTGATGGTTGAGGCCCAGCGCATGTGCAGCGCGGGTATCGAGGAGGCCAGCAGGGTTGGCAGCGCGCTAGAGTCAGGGGCGCGTTCCTCTCGGCACGGTCAGCACGAGGCGGTGCTCGCCGCGGCGTCGAGGGCCCTGGAGATCGCTCCGCAATGCGCGGCGGCTCAGGAGATGAGGGTGAGAGACGAGACCGGAAACGGGGGAACTAAGTAGATGTACCGAGAGGGGGGGGGGGGNTGCTCGCCGCGGCGTCGAGGGCCCTGGAGATCGCTCCGCAATGCGCGGCGGCTCAGGAGATGAGGGTGAGAGACGAGACCGGAAACGGGGGAACTAAGTAGATGTACCGAGGGGGGGGGGGGGAGGCTTGGGGGTTATCTCGCGGGTCTCGTGGTTCCCGAAAGGCGAGTAAATGGCTCGCGGAATGCCGAAGCATGATGCGTGGGGAGAGGAGAAGGAGGAGGAGGGAGGATGTCGAGAAAGACTCGAAGCCTTGGTCATTCTTAGTTGTACGGCTGGGCAGTCTGCAGCAGCGATTTCTGTGTCTCTGATCTTAGCCATGGTAACTGTTTTTCCTCGCCAGTGGCATGCAAAAGTGTTTTTTCGAAGCATTTACCTTTTTTGGGTTCTGTTTGTGACTACGAAATTTCGTTTCCGTGCCTGATAAGGGCGCACATCAGGATACTCTAGCTTTCGAGTGTGACGACCACAACGGCGAGAGTAACATCAAACCCATACAGCAGCCCGCCTTCCGCCTTCCATCGCCGCCTTGTTCATTTTCAACGTCGTCGTGGTCGACCGATGGATGGATCGATCATGCGCTTTCCTTCTGCGTACGTGTTGTTGTTATTGTTGTTGTTGTTGTTGTTGTTGCGGGGGAATACGCAGGCCTCCGCGCTTCTCCGGCTCCTGCGGCCAACAGAGTGCGTCCTCTTCTGCGAGGCGGTATGCATCAGGCCGCGTGCGGATCCCGAGGACGATTTTGACTGGGCCGCCGCCGGCGGTCGGACCGCCGGGTCGATGTGCCCCATACAGGTCAGCTGTCCCCGAAAACATATCTTGCGGTATATTCTTGTTGCGTCTAGATCATCAATGTACGGCACGCGCTCTCAAGAGGGGCCGCCGTGAGGCCGCATGCTTTAGAAACGTCTCGCCGTTCATCGCTCTTCTCGTCTCCTTCTCGACTATGTTGCCCTGAAAACCTCACGAGGATAGCGCTGCTGCTGGTGACGTAGAAGTAAACACTCCCTTTTTTTTGTGTACTTTTTGTCGAGCAGGCGGCGCTTGGCATGGCTCCCGGAGTCGCGAGGTTGTACGCGTCGGCGCTGAGGGGCTGCGGACGGCAGCACGAGGCCCTGCCTGTGGTTCAGGTAACTTTGCCGGGGAGGGGGCTGGTACCCGGCCGTCTCATCGCATCTTACGTTGAATCTTCAAGCGGCCATGGATGGAAATATTGTCCTTGAACCAGCTGTTGTGTAGTTTGGATGCACTAGAAGAGAGACGGGAGCGGGTGGGGGGGGGGCGAGCACGTCGGCGCACAAGTGCGTCCCACCTTTCATTCTCATCGAAGCCAGCTCTTGTAGATGTTACCTGATTTGGCCAGTCCGCACACCGGCGGCCGGAATAGTCTCGCCACCGCCCCAATCTTTTGCAGAGAACGCCCCACAAGCAAGCCGTTCCACGACGCCTATTTCTATTGTCTTTGCGTCACCTCCCCTTGCGGGCGGGGCGGCCGAGCAGGCTTTACGGTGTCGAGACCCTTCGCTCGCCTGGTGCGTCGAAGACGGGGCTTGCTGGGACCGGGCCGGGAGGCTGACGGTGGAAGGGGAACGCCTCGCCGCCGGTGGTGACCATGCTAAGGCCGCAGAGGCGTTCACCCAGGTATTTAGTTGCTAGTCTTCGGTGTTGTTTCGCGTGGTGGTGGTGGTAGCATTGCTGTTGTATTTGTCATTGACTCGGTCGGGCGTTGTGTTGGTCGTGGGATTGGTTGGCGTCTTTGCGTTTATGCTTGAACACACGGAAGCATTAACCAACTTGATCCGCCCTGAATAAAATCGAGAAGCTTTGTAGCACGCTTGTATGCATGTGCGGAGGCCCGCACCTTCTTGGCTCACCTCTGCTTTCGCGCTGTGAAGTCTAGAAAGTACACCAAGCAAATTGAGCGTTTGTCGACTTCACCACTAACGCGGGTGCCCCCAGTGAGTCAATGCACTTGCCCCGGTCCAATCCCAAATCGAGCATTCTTGTACCTTTTTACTGGAAAGTGCCTCCGATGTGCTTTGAACCTTGGAGTGAAGCCAATCGTGAGAGGTACGCGACATGGTTGTCCTCGCGCAATAGTTGTCGAAAATATTGAATGTTGTTTCGCGGTGTAGATAGAGACAGGTGCCTCTGTGTTAGATGCCCGTGAGATTTGTGAAGCGGATCGATGGGTGAAAACGTGCCTAGGATGAGCCTCATGATATCGTCGCTAGGCTGAAGCACCACCACTGCCTCTGCTGCCGCTGCTGCTGCCGCTGCTGCTGCCGCCCCTGCCACCGATACGCTACACACACGCACACACACACACGCACACACACACACATAGGTGTTGGAGGCCGATCCAGGTTGCGTCGTGCCGAGCGCCGAAGCCTTCTGCCACCGGGGTTCGTGTAGGCTGGGGGAGGGTAAGGCGCTCGAAGCACTGGATGACTGCTACCGAGCTCTGTCGCTCTTGTCGCTTGAGGTGCGTCCTTTTTTCCTCTGGGTACAAAATAGTTTTTCGTTGGGAGGGTGTGTAAGGGTTAGATAGCACGAAGGTGTTGAACGAAGAAGTGGAGGGAGAAGCGCTGGAATGTCGTTCGTCGGTGCCGAAGACGGCGGGCAACCGGAGAGGACAGACGCACCGCAAACGCACCACACGAGCCGCCTGATTGAGCCGCAGTGGGGTGACACAAAGCACCCAAGCACAACAACAGCCATGAATCGAGGTACATGTATGTGATAGTTGAGGTGATGGTGGGTCATCCGCGCTTCTCTTGCGTGAACGTTAACGATGCGAGGGTGCGTATTGTCTCGCCATTGCTTGCTTGACTGTGTGTGTTTACTATCGTTTTCGTCTGGCAACAAGCCAACCGAGTTAGGCAGCGTGTGTGTCCGTTCGTCTTGTTGGTTATCGTGTTGAATTCGCCGGCGTGGTCGTGAAGCCAAATGGTACCGCACGTTTTTCTCTCTCATCTCTTTTTCCTTGTCCACGCTTTCTTTTCTTCGAACAGGGTGTCGAAGGAGGTCAACGCACGGCGGCGGTGGCGGCGGTGGCTGGCGCGGCCGAGGCGTTCGCGTCTGCGCGCGGAATGGCGCTGCTCGTGAGGGGACGCGCGTACCTTGCCCTCTCGCGGCTCGGAGAGGCGATCGGGTGAGAAGAGATGAAACTGTTAAGGGTTAGTACCGATGGCGCCCGCACTTCATTGAGAACATCTGGGGTCGTTGGGGCTGGGGTTCTCGGTTCATCTGGTGGGCTACATACAAATGGACGCTACTAGGTTTTTGTGTAGGGCTTCCAGACCGGGCTTGCAAATTGTGCTCAGGTTTTTGCAAACGTTGGGTCATGACGCTCTTAAGTGTCAAGCTTTCAACTGCCAACTTCTTCAACTGCAATACAGCAAGAGGCAGTCGTGGCAGCGGCGCAAACGCCGACTGCCAATTACTATGCGGTATGCGTGTTGTGTTTGTTCGATCTAGACCACAACGAACCACGCACCCGTCGGAGCTTCATTCTGCCGTGTGCTATATCATGCAGGTTTGTGCGTGGTTTGCGGATCGATATGGAGGGAGTATGGGGAGAGGCGTACCTCGCTCTGTCACGGGGTCTCCGTGTATTGATTCGTGTACAGCACGACCCCATCCCTCCCTTGCCAGGCGGCCCCTCTATCTGTCGTAATGGTGACCAAATATATATATCGGGGACTTGTCTACGGCAACTCCCAATCGGACGGGGACGACCAGCTCGTGTACCGGGAACAGTAGTGAACTACTCATCTGCTGTGTACCGTTCCGAACTCTGACAACCTCTCATTCGGCGATGCACACATCTTTGATGGATTGCCAAAAAAAGGCTATTTTCATACCTCACCTCACTCTCCGCTACTCGCCCCCCCCGCCATTCCCCCACAGCGACTTGCGGGGATGCTCCAAGTGCAACCCCGGGCTGGAGGAGGACGCGCTGAAGTACCTGCGGGAGGCGGAGCAGCGGCAGGCCGAGGCTGGGCAGCAGCGGCGCCGACGGGAGCGGCAGGAGAGGGAGAGGCAGGCCGAGGCGGCCGCGGCTGCCGCATCTCTGGCAGCGGCGGCGGAATCAAAGGCCAAAGCCGCCGCCGCCGCCGCCGCCGCGGAACAACAGAAAGCAGCGAGGGAACAGGAGAAGGCAAGGGAGGCGGCGCCGGCGGCGGCGCAGAGGGCGCGCCCGGCTGCTGCGAGCGGCAGACGCGGAGGCGGTGGCGGAGACGGTGGCTCAACAAGGTAAAGTCAGCGACACGTGACATAGTTGACGGGAGCCCATGTGACGGCAAAACACACCAGTTCACCGAGGGCTGACGCGTTGATCGTGCTTGTAACCCCTCGTGATGGCATTCTCTATTGCACGAGATTAGTACGGGTCCTCCCTCTTCAGTGCCCTCCGGCTCAGCATCAACCGAAGGAGTAATGTGGCCTACCTTCCGCATCCGATCGCGAGAAATTCGAGGTGGTCGACGCTTGCACGCTGAAGCGGGGGCGTTCTTCTTGATCGTGGCTAGAACCGGGGCCTCTTCCGCCCCCTACCCCCCGACCTTCTGCAACATCATGAGTTGCACAAATCCTTGAAATTCGGCAACAACGTCGAAGCTCACACCCTCTTGAGGACTTGCCCTTTCCTCGTGTGCGTTTTCTTGCCGTTCGTTTGCCTCTGTTGTGTGTGTTGACTGGCGTTTGTTTTTCGCAGCAATCGCACACCCAGGCGGCGTGGTGCCGCGGGTACGGGAGCGGGGGGCGGCGCCGCGTCTCCCTTCCAGAAACCTGGCACACGGTCTCGCCCGGGGTCTTCTTCGTCTTCTGGTGGTGGCGGTGGTGCCGCTTCTGGCGGAGGCTACGGTGGTGGTGGTGATGGAATGAAGACCCCAGCGAGGGGCAGCGGCGTCGCTCGGTCTCCCAAGGTACATATGCGTGGCGGGGTAGCGTGTGACGGAGGAGGGGGGAGAGTAGGGGGAGAGCAGCAAGCACTTCGAGTTAGGAGCGGCTGCAGCGGTGTTGGAAGTCGGGGAGGTAAACAGGGGCCGACTGAGCAAATCGTTCCATGATTGGAGAACCTGAAGCGTGTGGAATGCCTCATGTATTTTATCTGTCTCTCTCTGCCCTCCCTCTCTCGTTATCCTTCTCTCTCTCTTTTCCGTTCAGATCGAGAGCGAGAGCTACTATCGACGTCTGGGCCTGCCTACAAATGCCTCAGAAGACGCCATCAAGAAAGCCTTCCGCAAGCTGGCACTCAAGTATCATCCAGGTGCGTTGTGCTTGTCCTACGCCATTCGGCATCGCTCGACCCTTAAATTCCTGCTTGACAGTGCGGCATTTTGAACCGCCGACTCTCATCCACGAATACCACATGTGTACAACTCGGAGCGTAATTTAAAACAGAGTTTCGACTCAGGCTCGATATCGAAATGTCGACGCTATCAGCATTCATGTATCGCTGATTCATATATCGGTTTGGCGATAAATGATACACCTGTCCAGGGCGCTCCCGAGCTCGGCACAACTTGCGTGTTTATCATCCATTTATTCGTGTTTGTACAGGTGACTCTTTCATGGAAGGAAATAAATTTCTGGGAAATGAATGTTCATGGCCTCACACCCCCTCTCGTTTGTGTCCGGGCGCGCACTCTGCAGACAAGAACAAGTCCGACGGAGCTGCCCGCAGCTTCAGGCTCGTGTCGGAGGCCTACCGCATCCTCACGTCCCCGGACTCGAAGCAGCAGTACGACCGGACACGTCGCTATACGATCGAAACCCCTCCCAGCAACGGTGGCGGTAACGGGGGCGGTGGTGTTGGCGGTGGTCGCGGCGGAAGAAGCGGTGGGAGGACGGCGGGGGGGTCCGCCTATTCGTCCGCTGGCAACGGAGGGGGCGGTGGCAGCAGCACGGGTGCTCCCCGATACTATTGGTGACGGGGGTTTTTATTTTATACCTGTTTGATTCACATCTTGGTCAGTGTTGCCTCTGTTGTCGGTGTTCCTCTCCGGGCCGGACGGCGGCTATCCTTACGACGGGGGTGATAGGAGGCAGTGAGGCATGGCACTTGTATCGTCGGTGCACTCCTACTACTGTAAGCGGTGGCCGACCAAGCCAGGACAGGTTGTTCGTATAGTTACCGTTTCTTGTGGAGGGGTCGACGGCTGCCGAATCACTTGTACGCTGTTCACCAGTCTCCCGTCCCGGTCCTCGGTAGCAAGAAGGAGAGAAGCGCATTGTGCAGCAAGCAGGGGATCATCCGTGAGAATCCAGGGTACGCATGGAAGTGTACATCAAATCCTGCACGTGGCTGAGTTTGCGCCACCGGCCCTGGACTGCACGTACGTGGTGTTGGTGGCGGTGGTGGGGTTGTTTTACTGCTCGTCGAGTTCTCGTTCATCCCTCGCTTTGTCTCGCCTAACTTTGGGTCTCTTGGTATGCGTATATAGTTTTGCTCGTCGAGTGCCTCATCCCATGCAGTCTAGTCTAAAGTAGCTCGAGCTCACCGTCCTGTTTTCTTCGCTTTGTACAACCATCACTCGCGACTAACTCTCTCACATGTATGTGCGGTACTGTAGGAAGGTGATGTCCCTCATTTGCCTCTCTGAGCAAATTCGCATGTTGTTGCCAAATCATAACGTTCCTGAATTATGGTCCATGCACAAAAATTAGTCCAACATTTCCCCAGCACGAAGGTGCCCTTTTCTCGGGGTAGGGGTGATGGGTGGTCCGAAATCCGAAAGTACCACCAAACAAACGCCTGGTGTCAAGGCGCACCTTCCTGAAGCGGAATTTTTGTTGCTGTTGTTCTTCGACTCATTATCCGAGATAAACTGGAAAAAAATCTGCCATCATCGTTTTATGTGGGTGATCCAACTGTAGGATTGATTTCAAAAAATAATGCGGCAAACGATTCTTCTCTGGTTACGAGCTAGCTGACGTGCTTTAGCTTTTGCTTTTCCGAGCAAAAAAACGAAATTTCACTAGATATGGACAAACACGCATCTGGAAGGCCTGCCATCGTTTCATGTGGGCGATCCAACTTTAGGATTTCAACAAAGAACGTGTCAAACGATTACTCTGGTCTCGAGGAGGCAGTTGACGGGCTTCCTTTTTGTTGTTTTTTTTCCGAGCAAAACGAAATATTTCGCCAGAAAAGCTACGTTTTGTCCAAATTCACGTTTTTCATCCGGTCTTCTTGAACTTTTGTGCTCCATATTTACTTGATCTCGGAGTGGGTGCCCAAACAGTATTTTTCTTCGGACTTTTTTTGCTCGTATTGATGTGGGGATCACTATTGTTAACAGCCTGGCTCAATTTCTAACTAACTACAAACTCGATTTCTTTCGAAAGTTATCGTACGAACCGTGACTTGTTGTGCATTTTAGTCTATCTACACAATAATGCAAGCCACCACAAAAGATAGTGGTCTTCTAACGCCTTCGGGGACGACGTTGTAAACTGTGGTCTGATGTCCAAATACAGGCAGTCCAGTATCTACAGCCCCAAAATCTTGTTTGTTGTCCGGAACGGAGATCAGATAGATGCGGGTACCAAAATACAAAGACCAAAAGAGTACTTATGTAAAAGACTACCCTTTCGAGATGTGTGCACATTGTAAGTCTACACCCACAGAGTCGAAGGGGATGTGTTGGGGAGTCCTTATGTTCGGATCGTCAAGAAAACGGTCAACACGGCCCGAGTTGTGCGCGAACGTGCAGGGGTTATTGAAGGCCTCTGTCCCCTGCTTCCACCCAACAGACTACATGTTGTACATGTGTGTTGTACGCTACATGCAGCATGTTGTTCAGCAGTTTGTTCCGCGGCCAACATGGATTCCACAACTCCTTCCTCCCAAAAATATGCGGCGGGATTATGTACCCAACAGGTTGACGTAGCAGATGGCACTCCTCCACACTGCTAGGGCTCTCAACAAAGACACTACAAGTACAGGGTTGGTGTGGGGTGTGGGACCAGCCGTAGTCTGTTTCTAGAAGGAGGGAGAGTCTGAATGCATCAACGCACAGAGAACGGACGCCGAACGGGTGCAGCAGACGTGCTCACGAGCTGCCGCGCCACCTCTGTGACCGCTCTCCGAAGCGCCGACTAGACTACTACTTATTCGCTGCACGTAGGGGAATGGGAGGTATGCCGACGCTCAAGTAGGTGAAAGCCATGTTCGGGCAAGCGATTTATTGACAAGGCTTGGAAATGGTCCCCGGGAGGGTCGGATAAGTGAAAGTAGTGGACCCAAGCTGCACAGGGTGGGGACGACCAGCGGTTTGTCGCTGGCTCTTTTCCTATTCTTTAATCCTATACAAAGAAAGAAAACAACTTTACCGCCAGGGTTAGGCATTCTGTTGTCATCAGCAGAGGGCACCACGAAGAGACGTCGTGCGTGCTGGCACACGCTCAGACTTTTGCTACTGGAGCGGAAATATCGAATGTCGCAGCAGCCTCTGAACACAGTCCGAACTCTGCGCCGGAACCAAGCGGCATCCAGCGTTTGTCACAGCCACGCTCACCGCCACGAATCGTAGCTGCTGCTGTAAACCCGTAGTTCAGGAGGTTGGGGTCGGTGGCGGCGAGCATGGCTGCGACAAATGTTGGATGCCACTTGGTTCCGGCGCAGATTTCGGACTGTTTTCAAAGGCTGCTGCGACCTCCGATATTTAGCTCCAGCAACCTGAACGTGCCAGTACGCACGACGCCGCTTCATGATGTCCTCTACTACTGCTGTAGACAACAGAATGCGAAACCCAACCCTCAAAACCGACCTTATTTTGAGCGCCTTCCGTTTTGGCTCTTGTGACTTGAATTTAGAATTATTTGTGTTAATTTTTATCTTGATTTCAAACTTGGCCTGTGGAGGTGGACGCGTGAAATGTATGATTTGAGCAGCCTCTACTGCCGCCCTGTGCGAGAATCAACGATTGTTGTTTTTCGCGATGCCTCGCGACTGGTCTTGTGTGTCTGTTGTAAAATTTTCTGAACCTCTTGCGTTTTTTTTCAAAATTCGTTAACATTAAAATTGCCCTCCTTCCCCCCCTTAAGAGTGCAACCAGCAAGCAGGTGGTCATGCTTACCTCTGGCTTGAACTTTCTGACCTCTCTAGTAGAAGATAAAGTCCGATTCCGTCGAGCCCCCATGAAAGAAGGCTCACATTTTCCGAACGCCGAGCGCTGGACTGACGCCAACGTCCTCCTGACGCCGGATCTGTTAGGAGTATCGCGCTCACCGTAATCCAACGTATCTACAATACAAAAGATGGAAACCTTCCCGATGTTTGATCAACTTCTGTTTTCTTGGAGTAGAGGACACGAAGAGGCATCGTGTGTGCTGGCACGTTCAGGTTTGCAGCTGAATTTCGCTGTACAATTGGGCGTGGAGGTGTTGGTGCATTATCGAGCGGGTTGTCCCTCGCTTCAGCATGCAGGAGTGCGGTGTGAAAGAGGCCGACGTTTTCCTGGGATGACACCCACCCGCAGACGCATAGTTCGCACGCACTCATCCGCGGCCTTTTTGTCGACGATGATTTTCTCCTCCGGCGGCAGGGAGAGACACCGCTGTGCGGAGAGCTGTTCATAAATCTGACGATGGGGGGGAAGGTGAAAGCAAGGGGATCGTGTGGGCGCCGGGTTCCGAGGAGGAAGATTATGCCTTGTTAGATTCACCAGGAGATGAGAGCGCCGCGGACGGGAACATAAACGTCGGGGGGGGGACTGGAATAGCCGGCACCGATCGCACAGTTGGCTGGAGGGGGCCAAGGCTTCCCCGGCCAGCGAGGGCCTTTTCTGCGCTGCTGCTTGTCTACGTGATCGTGGCTCTGGGACTCTTGTTCATCCCGACGAGATGGTGCGAATGCTGGTGCTCGAATAAGCTGGCGTTTTTTTCCCGTTATTTCCTTGTAGATTATCGGTGATTTAATTTAGTCTATGTTTTGGTTTGGTTTTGTTTTGCTTCTCTGGGACAACGAGCGCTTTTCGGGGTTTGTCGGCTCGTGTTGGCGCCGCTCTTTGATGCCACCTTGCGCACAAACCTCGAATGCGTACGAGATACACCAATTCCTACCTGGAACATGTTCGGTAACGGGGTTATTGCCTTTGCGTCGGAGTATTTGCACGCCGGAGGAACGTGTGATTGATTTCTTACTCTCCGTGAAAGCACGCCGCATCCAACCTCGGGCCAAATCTGCCCAACGCCTCTGTCAAGGAAGCGAACGTTTTCGTATGCCTTCCTCCTCTCCTGCCAATCCTCAAATCTCAGGCGCGATATACACGCCTTTGGCGGCCAGGACCAACGGCGACATTTCGCGTTCAACCCGGACTGCCCTTACGTCCTTCGAACGCCAGAGGAAAGGTTGAGAATGCGCGACCCAGCCATCCCGGGCAACGTTCTCACCGTTGATGACTTTCGTTTCGGCCGCCTGGGAAACCGCTTCTGGGCTCTCGGGGTGAACTTGAAACTTGGCTACTGCTGCAAGTCGAAGCTGGTTAGTGCGGACCGGCGTCAAATTTGCAGCAGTGCTGTGGGCGCGCATTCAAAACTCTTTTGGGGAGATCCTGCGCTGGCCGATGACGGCAAGCCTCGAACACGTACATAGACAAATTTTCGAGTAGAATTAGGAACGGGGGTATTCGGTGCATGTTGTATCGGTGGGCGGCGTCTCGAGCTTATTAAATAGGACAAGTGCACCAGATTTCGGCCTAGATATTGTTGCTGACTTTCGACGCACCGATTACCACAACACCGTTGACAGCACTACCTCTTATCGCCGGCATTGGGCTGCGCCCATCGTGGACGATGATTTGTGCCACGCAAGCGTCCAGCGGTTTGATATTTGTACCATTGGCACCAAGCCAACGGTATGTGTGAGAAATATTTGCACGGAATTATGGGGCACACTGTGTTTCTGTATTCTGTTGACGCAGATGCGCCAAAGAGGTCGACCCAAGCCTCCCTGGTCCTTTTTTGTTTGGGCGGGAACGCTCGCGAGAGGCTTCGCTATCCTGAGACACATGAACGGCGCGGATAGCAATTGTCGATAAGGATGAACCTAGCCCGACAGAACGTGATTTGCTGTTGTGCGACGCAGGTGTCATTGCCTCCAAAGGACGACACGCTGGCGCCTGGTATTTTTGGTGAGGGGACCCCCGGACCCCGGTGGTATGACTTCACCGACGCTCCGGATGTGGAGGGATTCGATGCGTCTGGCTGCCCAGCGGGCATCACGTGGGGCGGGAGAGAAGCTTTCCACCTTCTCGGA